AACGCTTCCCACGTGTGATGGGGAAAGTGTCACTAAAGGAGCTGCGCTTGGGGCAACAGATTCACCCCACTGCCCCTCTTTTCTCTGCAAAGCAAGGCAACGCCGGATGCTTCACCTGGCCTTTGTCTTGAGGCCCATAGGGTGTATGTACGCTGTAGAATTCAGTTTGACACCACTTTAACTGCAACGGCTCAATGCTATGGAGTCTTGGGGGTTGTTGTTTGGTGTGGTACCAGCACTCTGGCAGAGAAGATAAAAGACCTTGTAAAGGTACAACCTCAATTTTCCATAGCATTGAGCCATGGCAGTTTAAGTGAAATCAAACTACATGAATTCTACTGTGTAGATCCACTATTAAAGTCTATGAGTGTTTAAGCTAACAACTTTGTTCTCTCCATCTTTAAGGTGCTAAAAGATCATTTGCATACTTGATCATAAGTGCATCAAAGAAAGAATTGTCATTCAATTCAGTATGTGCTTGTATGAGATTAAAGGTAAAGGTTTTCCCCTGACATTAAGTCCAGTCGGTCCGACTCTGGGAATTGGTGCTCATCTCCATTTCTAAGCCGAAGAGCCGGCGTTGTCCACAGACACCTCCAAGGTCATGTGGCCAGCATGACTACATGGAGCACCATTACCTTCCCACCAATGTGGTACCTATTGATCTACTCACATTTGCATGTTTTCAAACTGTTAGGTTGGCAGAAGCTGGGGCTGACAGCGGAAGTTCACACCGCTCCCCAGATTCAAACCTGCGACCTTTTGATCAACAAGTTTAGCAGCTCAGTGGTTTAACCCACTGTGCTACTGGGGGCTCCTGTATGAGATTACTTACCTTAATAAAAATAGACTGTAACAGAGTGTGAGCTCGTTTATAGAATTACTATTATATAATCCTGAATTGTTCTGTCACCAGATGTTATTGTTAATCTTGTCTCTTTTAAACAGTTTTTTCTCAGATGTCAAACGGGGACCAATATTTTGGGCAGGTTGCCAAGGGGAAAGGGACAATAAAGAACATCTGGGTTAAAATAGAATCAGGTATGCTTCCTGTCACATAAACACATTTTTATTCATTTGTCTAAGTGACACAAATGGAATCCAGTAGCATGTTGCTTAAAGGAAGATTCAAATCACGAATAGATGTTCCATCCACAATAATGTCAGATTCTCAAAACAGAATAATGTCGAAATTCTTGATGTGTAGGGTTGACAATCAGGGAGTAGATGTTAGTAAGTTTATGATCTACCTAAATACCAGCTAAAAGCATTTATTTCAGTTAACTTGTAAAATAAAAGAAATGCTTGTAAAATAAAAATATTGTTCACATTCATACATTATTGATACACAGAGTTCTGCCTTTATGAAGGGATTTCCTGGCAGTTTGCTCAGTCTAATATAAAAGGAAAACATTTCCAACTTTAAATAAAGGACACCTATGTGTGAAGGGGCATATTTCTGTCCTCCATTAAATCCTAGCCTGAGAAACTGCACAAATTCAGAATTGTCTCCAAAGGACAAGGTGTTCTCTCTGCTTGCCTTGAAGTCACTTTCCCTGTTTTTCCTCACAGGAGGTCCTCCTGCTATTTTATCTGTTCTGAGTATCTCATAAAAAAATCTTCTCAGGAACACACCTTTGCTACACTAAGAACAGCCTATATTTAGAGCAGCTTTCTCCAGCTCACTATTTTGGACTACAGCTCTTATAATCCTTGTAAGTGCCCCCTGTTTTTAGATGATCAGTTTTTTTAATGATCTGCTCTTTTGACCTTTTCAATTATAACCAGAACCCACACATTTGATGCATGGACCTTTCTTTAGGTCTATTTTGTTACATTTCCATACATTTCTGTGATTACACACTATATAATGATAAACAAAGCTAAATAAAGTCTGGCTTCTGCTCTGGTTCCTGATGAATAAGCAGGGGATACCAGTATCCTATGCTCATGACTAGGAGAAAACATGCTTAGAGTGCATTTACATTCTAGAATTAATGCAGTTTGACACCGCTCTAACTACCACGGCTCAATGTTATGGAGTCATGGGAGATGTAGTTTGGTGAGGCACAGCACAGCACTACTTGCCAGAGAAGATTAAAGATCTTGTAAAAATACAACTCCATAGCATTGAGCCATGGTGGGTAAAGTGGTATCAAACTGTATTTGATTCTAAAATGTGCAAAACTCATAATTTTCTCTGACTAATAATTCAGATATTTATTGGTCAAATGAGACCAATTTTTGACCATTTCCTGGATGATTTGGCTCTCCATCTAAGGTTGATATTGCTGCTATTGCTACTGCAAAGCTACATCTGTTCTGTTTCAGCAGTTGAGGAACTGTGATCATACCACTTTAGTAAACAAGAGAGGTGCGTTATATACACCTGAGCTATGATTAATGAAAGTATTCTTAGATCTTGAGCACACTTGTTCAGTAAAAAGAAAAGGCAACCCAAAATATTTTGCAGCTTGAGGCACAGTATCAAATTAAATCTCTGGCCCACCCAAGTCAGTCAAATTCTCTTGGCCCAGAAGGCAGTAAACCTTGAAAGTGGTAAAATATAAACAAATTCAGTAAAAATTTACTATCCATTTGTGATGTCTCGGCCTGTTTATTTCTCAGTTGGACTGTTCCATTTTACCAAGTTTAGGGGAGAGCTTAGGTTCCCCCTAGAGGCCGAGTTCGGTTGGTGCAGCCCATTCTGACTCAGAGCCAGAATGGGCTGGTTATAGAACTTCGTTTCCCATTCTTTGTTAGTCTTAGCTTATAGATAGTTGCCAGATAGTGTCTGGTCTGGCCTAGCAATTTGAACAGGCCATCCTAATCACGTATTTGCCTTAGAGTTTATAGATAGATAGTTTGTATTTGCCCTAAAGTTTATAATACATATTTGCCCTATAGATAGAGAGTTCATAGATAGTTTGTATTTGCCTTAGAGTTTATAGATAGATAGTTTAGATAGTACATACCCCAGAGTTTATAGAGTATTTACCTCATAGAAATTATAGTTGTTTTTTACCTCAGATTCACACCTTTGTACATTGTTGTAATTCACCTTGATTATTTAGTAAACAATTGTTAAACTTAATCTTGTTTATAGAGTTTTATTTTGGGGGAATTATAGTAATTAGGGCATATCGATGGTCACTGGGAAAATAGCCAGACACATTTAGGTTTCTCATTAGATCTTCCTGGTGTGCCATCACACCATTCATGGCTACTTTGGTTTGCCAGCATAGTAAAAGGTATTATCTTTCCATCTTCATCGAGACATCAAAGAAGGGAAATAATAGAGACTTACACATATGCCATTGACTTGCATACAGAGATGAGTTCCCAAACTTCACAATATTGTTTTCAAAAATACTACATTATCAAAGTTAATGCAAACAGTCCCACATAGAGCCACTTTTGGAATTTATTTTCCTAGCAATATATTGCTCCATGTCAAAGACAAAAATAAGTACAGGCAGTCCCCAAGTTACAAACAAGCTAAGTTCTTTACAACTGTTCTTAAGTAGAATTTGTATGTAAGTCAGAACACATACTTGTTTAAAGTGTAAAACAAGCCAGACACACACACACACACACATTATATATTTAGCTTTGAACAGCCGGACAGCATAGGGAAGGATTCACACCCCTGCGGTGTTTGGTTTACTGTCTGTACCCTTTCAGAAGAATTCACCTCACTCTCTGTCTCCGTGATAATTGGATTTTTTTAAAATGGCTTGTTGTGGAAACAAAGATGGTGATAAAACTTCAGTGGATATACTTTCCTCCCATGATAATAACTCTTTCAGGGAGTGAATTTCCCTTCCAAAGGGCAGATTTCTCTCACTTCCTGTTATCTCACCCCTGCTCTTGATGATGTCCTTTGTAACTTGGATGTTTGTAACTTGGGGACAGCCTATACTGTCTGCGGCCCCTTCCACACAGCTGAATAAAATCCCACATTTTCTACTTTGAACTGGGATATATGGCAGTGTGGACTCAGATAACCCAGTTCAAAGCAGGTTTTGTGTGATTTTTCTGCCTTGATATTCTGGGTTATATGGCTGTGTGGAAGGGCCCTGAGGCTTCCACGTGGCCCCAAATGCTTAAAACCATGGCTCAATGCTATGGAATGGTGGGAGCCGTAGTCTGGTGAGGCATAATGGAAAGACCTTGACAAACACAACTCTCTTGATTCCACAGCACTGAACTATTGGCAGTTAAAGGGGTGTCAAAAGGCATCCATTCTAGCAAAGGTCCTCAAACTAAGGCCCGGGGGCCAGATACTGCTCTCCAAGGTCATTTACCCGGCCCTCACTTAAGGTCAACCAGTCTGAAACTACTTGAAAGCACACAACAACAACCCTATCTCATCAGCCAAAAGCAGGCCCACACTTCCCATTGAAATACTAATAAGTTTATATTTGTTTAAAATGTTCATTTTAATTACTGTATTGCTTTAAAGTGTTTTTTGCACTACAAATAAGATATGTGCTGTGTGCATAGGAATTCCTTTTTTTTTTTCAAATTATAATCTGGCCCTCCAACAGTTTGAGGGACTGTGACCTGGCCCTCTGTTTACAAAGTTTGAGGACCCCTGCATTCTAGTGTTGACGCACCTTGGGGCCTCATCTACACTCACCAAGTTTCAGAAAACATATTACCTGCTTTAAACTGAATTATCTGGCAGTTGAGACTCATATAATCCCGGTTAAAGCAAATAAACTGGATCATAGGGTGAGTGTAGATAGGGCCTGGCTCTCCTTCCCCATTTAGGAATCCTCCTTTCCCCTCATAAGAGACATCCCGTTCTTCCAAAGTCTTTCCTTTCTAGCGGGCCAGAGGCATCCTCGTGCGGTTTCTCGCGAGATTTACCCTGCCTCGCGCCAGCAAAGGCCCTCAACAGCCTCAAAGCCAGCGCGCGACTGCAGCCCTCCCGGCCCAGGAAGGATGTTGCAAAGGCGCTGTCGTTGGGGGAGGGGACTAGGGGGGCGGGGATACGCATGCGCGCACAAGATGGTGGCGGTTGCCGGGGGCGCACGTGACTTGCGCTGAGGCGCTGCTGCCATGGAGTCGTCGGAGGGACTCCGGGATGGCCAGGAGGAGGAAGTGGAGGAGGAAGTGGAGGAGGAGGTGGGTGCGAGGGAGGCCCTGCATGCGGGAAAGGAAGAGGAGCAAAGCGGAGGGTCCCTCCCCATTCCTCCCTTGCCTCTTTGGAGGGCCAAGATCAAGGAGGCGACAGTCTAGGTCAAGCCTGGGCAAACTTGGGCCTTCCAGGTGTTTTGGACTTCAACTCCCATCATGCCTAACAGCCTCAGGCGGCTGAGGGGGGAAAGAAAGGGGCCTGAGGCTGTTAGGCATGATGGGAGTTGAAGTCCAAAACATATAGCTTCTAGTGCAAGCAAGAATTGGTGCTAAAGCTTCAATGGAGACAATTTCCCCCATGATAACCCTTCCAGGAGTGAATTTCCCTTCCTAGAGGAAAGATTTCTCTCACTTCCTAGGTTTCTCTCACTTTCTGTTGTCTCACTCCCGTTCTTAACTATGATTCGTTTGTAAGTTGGATGTCTGTAACTCCGGGGCTGCCTGTAATAATAATAAATAATAAAACTTTATTTATATACCTCTCTATCTCCCCGAGGGGGGCTCAGAGAGGTTTCCAAGTAACATCACCGAAACATATAAAGTAAACAGCATAACATAAAATCAACAAAACAACATTAACATAAAATTATCACAATAATACATGTATACTACAAAGAATCCTGCCTATTCAGAGCAATTAAAAAGCCGGGCCAAGTCTAGTGCAAACTCAAAATATGAAGGGGGCGGGCATTAAGTACAGTGCTACAAGGGCAATAGAAGGTACAGGTCTGTGGCTGCTCATTTCCAGTGGTTCTCAACCTGTGGGTCCCCAGATTTTTTGGCCTTCAACTCCCAGAAATCCTAACAGCTGGTAAACTGGCTGGGATTTCTGGGAGTTGTAGGCCAAAACAACTGGGGACCCACAGGTTGAGAACCACTGTATTAGAGGGATGACTGGGATAATAGGTAAGAAGTGCAAGGCCATATTCAATAATGTTTGGGGCTGGACTAGAACTGGTCATTCTCAAAGGCTTGTTGAAACCACCAGGTCTTCAAGCTCTTACAAAAGGAGGGGAGGGATGGGGCCTGTCTTATTTCCATTCCAGAGGCGGGGGGCCACTCTCTCATCCCCACCAACTGTACTCTCCCTCTCTCTCATCCCCACCAACTGTACTTGTGACGGTGGTGGGAGTGAAAGGAGGGCCTCCCTGGAAGATCTTAGCATTTGCGCCGGTTCATAGAAGGAGATGTGATCATGGAGATAGGCGGGGCCCAAACCGTTTAGGGCTTTATAGGTCATGACCTGCACCTTGAATTTGGCTCAGCAACTTATCGGCAGCCAATGAAGCTGTTTTAATAGGGAAGTTGTGTGTACATATAATGGGGAAGGGGGAGCTTCCCTATCACTACTCTTACAGTGGGCCCTGCTGGGTTTTAGTGGAGAACGTTATGGATACCAACATCTGTGGATTCCCAAATCCCATTGTATATATGTTGGCTTAGTAAAAGGGTGTCCCTTATATTGTTGGGATTCAACCTCACACTGCTCGAGGCTCAAGTCCTCAACGAGGAACAGTTTAGTTAGCTTAATAGACTGAGGGTTAAAAAGGAACCCCGTGTTGCGCAGCAGCGGAATTTACCCAGTGCCCAAAGTCCAAATGCAATAGACTCACAGACAAGAGGGAAAATGAACAGAAAAATCTTTACTCAGCAGAGATGTAACATAAACTCTCAATGTTGAATACAAAAATCAAACAGTGTAAGAAACTTACATAGTCCTTGTAAGTAACACAAAATAAGGCATCTTCATCTTAAATCAAATGAGAGAGCAAAACATAAACCTTGAGTAAAAGATATTCCACCATAGCCTCCTTCAGAGTAGCTTCTCCATGCTGTTACCCAGAGCAAAGCCTTTGAGCATAGATCTCCCCAGGAAAAAAAAAACTCCACCACCCACACTGTATTCTAAAAAACCCATACAGATATACCCCACTGGGTGTGGTCCAAGCTTGCTGGTTGAGCTACATTACCAGCTGTACATAATAATTAACACCATAAGGTTTTTCTTCAATACACACTTGGTCCTGCTATGACTTACCGCAACACCCCAGATGGTGCAGTGGGTTACAGCACTGAGCTTGCTGACTGAAAGGTGTTGCAGGTACGAATCCAGGGAGCGACGTGAGCTCCCGCTGTTAGCCCCAGCTTCTGTAACTCGGCAGTTCGAAAAGATTCAAATGTGAGTAGATCAATAGGTACCACTCCAGCAGTGAGGTAACTGTTCCATGCAGTCATGCTGGCCACACAACCTTGGAGGTGTCTATGGACAATGCTGGCTCTTTGACTTAGAAATGGAGATGAGCACCAACCCCCAGAGTTGGATACGACTGGACTTAATGTCAGGGGAAAATCTTTACCTAGACTAAGGGTTTTCCTTCCTCCATGTCTCCTGAATGACAGTTGGGAATGTATCTTTTTCTTCTCTCTTGTCAGGAGAGATGTAGTAATTGAGTCTTTCACTCTTTTGGAAACCTTAGAAGAGATTGGTGTTAGAGTAGCTCAGACTCAGTTCTTGATTATTAAGAAATGCAGTTATGTCTTATTATTGTAAATAAACCTTTTGTGATTTTTAAGATTGGACTCTGCCTCTTTGCCTAAGCTCTAAATTCTTTATAGCCACATCACACAGCACTTCACGCTTCACGTGCTGTGAGCTGATGCTCAACTTTAAATGTCCTGTTTGTTTTTGGATGCACTCCTTTATTATTTTTGTAGTTTTCCCAAACATATATAACATAGCAAAATCAAGGTTTGCTTTTTAGATTTTTTTTTCAGGAGAAAGATACTTTCAAACCATTGATATAGATGGACAAATGTGAATCCACGTGAGTTTGTGGATATAGATGGACAAATGGACTATGCTGCCCTGAATATATCAATCTGCTTTCAGAAACCGCACAGGGCCTGTTTAGTGTGAGAACTGAGGTGGGCCAGGGGTACCCTTGCTTGTGTCCCACTGCTGGGGCAGTATGAAATGTGAGGAGACGGCTTTGAAGACCCAACTGATGCCAGTGCTGGCATCTTTCCATACCAAGGCGCCATCTACACCAAACATCAATGCAGTATTGAAGAAAGTGGTTTCTCTGTACAGATGATTACATAGGAAATCCTGGAACTAGTTTGAGGCCCAGATGGTGATGACGACAGAGCACTGATGTGCAAAGGGTCAGTGTAGATAGCGCCAAATCAAAACATTACTTTCTATTAAAGCTTTTGAGGAACAGTTTATTTCAAAGTATACATTGCTTTAAATTGTTGTAGATTTTAAAGGAGTTTTAATTGGTTGCTTTATCTGATACATATTTTATCTTGTTTAAACAAAGAAGTGTGAATTATTATTGTTATTTATACCCTGATTTCTCTCCCTATGAAAGCGGCTCAAAGTGGCTTACAGTAAAACCAATGCAATACAATTTATACCTTTAAAATATACAAACCTTAAAATAGAATTAAATATAAATGATAATAAGAATAAACAGTTCAAATACTTTAAAAACTGATTAAAACACATTCAGTTGTTTAGATTCTAGGCTCCTTGAGATACTGTGATAAAGAAGGGATGGATGTGTTTTAGCAAATGAATAATAAATCCATAATCCTCGAATGGGGGGACCAACAGGGAGCTCTGGGGAGGTCTAGGAAAGAATCCTTCCTGAAATGCTGGTGAACTGCTGCCAGGCAGATTGACAGTCGTGAGACAGATGACTCAGTTCTGTGAGACACTTTCCAGATCATGGAAATAGATTACTGCCCTAATGTCATCCGTTAGCAGGCGCTAAACATAACGAAGCTGCTCTCTGTTATCATTGGGGTTTTTTGTTTGTTTGTTTGTTTTTTAGTTTTGGTTCACGTTATCTACTCTAATGCTCTCTGACACAACTGCTGGTATTCACTGAATTCTCAGAACAGGGATCTGTTCTAATGCTGTTGCATGAGAGCATTTAAATCTACAGAAAAGTGGGAAAAGCAAAAGGTACATTGCCATTATTTAGGATATGGGATTGTTGTTGAATAAAAGGTAGTAGTTAATTCTGCATTGAAATGGCAGTACAGAGTGTACAAAATATGGTTGCCATATTTAAGTTGGAGTAGTCCAGAATTGAGGCAAATGTGGTGTAGTGTTGAGTTAATTCTGCATTGAAATGGCAGTACAGAGTGTACAAAATATGGTTGCCATATTTAAGTTGGAGTAGTCCAGAATTGAGGCAAATGTGGTGTAGAGTGTACAAAATATGGTTGCCATATGGTTGCCTCCAAAGAAGACTTTGCCACACTCCTGGACACAGTTAGGAAGTTAGGGCAGCACAAAACAAGCTTGCTCCCACCCTCTCTATGACTTCCCCTCACATATATATACATGGTCATCATGTCTCCTCTTAGCCTTCTCTTCTGCAGGCTAAACGTGTCCAGCTCTTTAAGCCGCTCTTCATAGGGCTTGTTCTCCAGACCCTTGATCATTGTAGTCGCCCTCCTCTGGACATATTACAGATTGTCAACATCTCCCTTAAATTACGGTGCCCAGAATTGGACACAGTATTCCAGGTGTGGTCTGACCAAGGCAGAATAGAGGGGTAGCATAACTTCCCTGGATCTAGACACTAGACTCCTATTTATAAAGGCCAAAATCCCATTGGCTTTTGTAGCCGCCTCATCACATTACAATCCTTTATCCACCAAATGCATATGTGTACTAAGTATAAGATCCATATGTTAGTGTGTATTTAATTATTTAAAGGAATCCTAGCGGTCAGTACTTGGATAAAGCCTTAGAAGTACAGAGAAGTACAGAGAAGCCATTTCGGACTTAAAACAGTGTGTCAAATGAGAGGTGGAGGAAGATGCATATCAGCTTCCATTGCATTAGAGCAAAATTTCCTAGTGTTAGCTAACTAACTACTTTCAAGGACTTGGAAGGGACAAAGTGGTCAGAAGAGTATACATTCTTATCCTATTGTGTTACAAATGCAGAAAATACAAACATTGTGTAATTGCAACATAAAAGCAGAAGGGTGTAGAAAGCGTGTCTCCATGAACAAGGTGATTTTGACAATGTACTTGCCAGTGGGCACCATCTGCTGGGATTAAAAGGAACACTGAGCTTCTACATATATTATTTAAAAGTATACTGTAAACTTTTTTCCACCCAGGAACAATTAGTCATGGTTGAACTGTCGGGAATAATTGATTCAGACTTTCTGGAAAAATGTGACAACAAGTGCAAGATCTTGGTAAGTTGCATTAAAACTAACCTACACCTTCATTTTTTAAAAAAAGAGAACAATGAACCTTATTCAAAACTTGCAGAAACAAGCAGAATCATTTCTGCTGATTATGGACTGTTTCAGCATTGTTGGGGATTGCATTGCCCTATATCAAGATTGTACATATTTTTCTTTGGCCATGTGTGGCCGGCAGGAAGCTATGTTGAACTGTGGGTTCCTGTTATGTACACGCATTATCAAAATAGGCACACATTTTACAAACAACAATGATGTATTTTGTAAAGAAAAAAAATAAAGAAAAACGAAAAGAAGCATGAAGTGTCTCTCTGAATTTTACAACAAGAGCACATATAGGGATGGGGATTTTGTGGCCTCCAGGTGTTGCTGGGCTGCAACTCACAGCAGCCCTATTTAGCACAGCAAATAGTAGGGAATGTTGGGAGTTGTCAGATAACAACATCTGGAAGACTACATGATTCCCAGCCATGACGTATTTCAAATTTTGGCTGAGATTTTACTTGCCCCTGTAGGACCACAGGTTTTGACACTTTTGCTGTAGACTTTTACAGTGGAGAATGGGAAGGCAAAGGCTACTCGTTTCTTCTCTGGTCATACAGCAGGAGCCAGATTGTTTCTGCAGACAAAGCTGCATTTGGGTGCCATCTAGCTGCCAAGGAGGTGCTGATTATTCTTTTCTGCCACCCAAGAAAACACTTGCATTAGCCCAATCCTCCTCGTATGTCACTAAGAGTAAATTACACCTCTGTAAAGCACCCAAAGGAGTCCAGCCTTACAAATTTTGCCACGTTGAAGCTATTTTCTGAGTATTCCTGGGATATAATCTATGTTTCACTTTTCTTTCTGATAAATATTGTGTCTTTTTCTTAGGGCATAGACACAGAGAGGCCCATTTTGCAAGTAGACAGATATGTGTTTACTGGAGAATATGAAGGTAAGGAGTTGGATAAGACTGTGCTATATGTTTTTGTAAACAGAAGGATCTCTGACTAGTTCTGAGAGATCAAGAAGCTTTTAAAATTATTTTTGTCCTTGGTATTTCTTAGGTGTTTTTCTGTTTAGAAAAAGAATCCCAGTCCCATGAATCCTTCATGCAGTGGCAAAATAAATAATCATTGGCTTTTGGGAAAGTATATAACATCCCAATAAAAACAGCTATTTAGAGACATAGTATAATGGAAAAGCTGCATATGTATTTAAATCTATATTTTAACCCCTGTGCCTTATTATCAATAGATATGGCTGGTTGGAGTCTTTTTCTTCAATAGACTCCAACCAGGTTACTACTTAACAGAAAATTCCTTGTTGTCTCCAGATACCCTTGGTACCTGCATGGTGTTTGAAGAAGACAACGATCATGGTAAGTAGGATTTTAGATAAGAGTTCTTTAAAACCCTGAAAATGCCTAAAAAGATTGCATATTTGAGAGAGTAAAATTGGATTTTGAATATGAATCTGTAATATCTTTTCTTCATAGTAGATGCAGATGGGAACCAAAAGGTACAGCTAAAATATAAGTGCCACACAATGAAGAAGCTTAATATGACACGGACACTCCTCACAGAGAAAAAGGAAGGAGAAGAAAACACAGGTACTCTGATTATAGAAAAGCGCCCTCCTTAATATAATCGATTTTGCTGTCCTACTCTAGAAACCTCATTGGATATGTTCACCTAATTCCTACAGGATTGCATTGTTTGCTTCTCTTCCTGTGTTCCACAGGCTGTGTCCACAGACTGCTCCCCTTCTCTTCATAATTTCTGGCTTATGAAGTTATTCTCTTTGTACTTACTGTTTCTAGCCTGAAGGAACTACGTTTTCCAATGGTTCCATTGGGCTCTTGACTCATGCTTTCTGATCACCTTCACTTTAATTCTTTATAGTCCCAAAATATGTGCCTCTTAACTGATATCAATAGGGCAGCCACCAACCCTAACCATCAGGTTGAGACACCCTGTTCTATTCTCTTGTTTGAAAACAGAATAATATTTTAGTTATTTCATTCAAGATATAAGAATAATGGATTGCTAATCTCGTTCTCAAGGTATGTTGCTTCATACCTGGAACAATATGAAGACCACTCGTTGGCCTTTTTTGCAGATTAGCTGATTTGTAATACATTTAAGAACAAATGTATCAATTGTCTGAGATATTTGCCTTTGTATATTGGATTAATATAAAATAGTTATTTCATGTATTCATGGTAAGGAGATACCATGAACAAGTAATCTAAACCTGGCAGTGGATTTTCTCTCCATTATAGAGAAAAATAGTTAATGGTCAAGTATAACTGTTGTCTAGTCAGCAGTGTTGTTTAATTGTAAATTAATTTATTATTTAATCATTCCTATGTAGTTGGCCATACACTTTGCTGTTGGTTACTATTTGGAATGCATTTTGATATACAGAGGGCTTTACAGAGTAAACGTCACTGCCTCAACAATTTACCATCCAATATTTGACACTAAGGAAGTTGACAAAAAGTATAGAATGTATGGGAAGGGAGAGGGCAGGCTAACAAAGGATACATGTTGTGAAAATACACAACCACAAAAATCCTTGCAATACACAGGTACACATACATTGCCTTGACAACCATAATTGCAAACCTATTTCCCATCTCAATTAAAAAACACACCAAGTGCTTTCCATCTGTGAGAGACAAATGCAAATATAGAATAATATCCATTTAAATATTCTCTTTACTCTCACTTCTGTACTGATCACTGCTGTCTACTTTTGACAGGTGGTAAGGTGGAATGGCTGGAGCTTAAGGACAAAGATTTCACATACAGCCGGCCAAACCTGATTTGCAATTTTTTACATGAAAAAGAAGAGGAAACAGCTGAATCCCAGGACAAACAGGCAGAGGACTCTGTTGGGGAAGCTGGTGACCCAGAAAATAGAGTTCAAAACCTTGATCCAGAGACGCCACCTTGTGTTGAACTGGCTGACTCTGTCTCTCTTCCGGATGCCACTGGCTCCAAGGCAACAAATTCTCCTGTGAAGAGCCAGGAGGATATGGCTGTAGATGATCATTCATCTTGAGGTCAAGGCAACAGTTGAAAGATAATGAATATAAAACTTTCTATATGACATCTAGTTGGTATATATCATGTATATCATTAATCGGAAAACTGGACCCCAATTATTACCAAGTTAGTGGTAATGCAGAGTCAGTCCAAGAACTATGCAGCTGAATCTGCATTTCCTATAAGGCTTTTAAGCTGTTCCTCCATCGTAATTGCGCTGCACGATTAGCAAGTTCCAGCGAATCATTTTGTGGAGATGATTACTGTCCTAAGGAGTAGAGAAATCTTAGGAACAAAGCAACAACCTTGAGCTTGCCTACCAACCCTTTGTAGAGTGCAGCTTTTATTTAGCGTTTTGTCTCCTGATGTCATCTCATTATCGTAGAATAGGGAAGTCCTGAAGTTGGTGCCTGAGTGAAGAAACGTCAACAAACCATTCCTGATTTTTTTATACCATACAGTTGTGTTTGCTTTTACATATAGTTTTTTTACCTGTACAATCTGTTTTACAAAATAAAATAGTTTTGTCTTTACCTGCATAGATAAAGATATTGAACACCCCTTGAACTAGTATTGATTGCTTTCATGCAAGAAATCATCCATTCCCCCTCCATGCATAGCTACTGGGTTGCACCCAGTTGTTTCCTTAGCTCTTCATCTAGTGGAGGCTTCCATGAACAGGAGGTGATTTTGGCAGCACTTGGAGCTGCATAGGAAGAAGCAAGTGAGTGAGAATTTGCCTCCACCTCTTGGATAATGTTGAATGGAATTTCACTCACAAGTGTTGTGACCACAAAAGTCATGATGCTTTTATGTTTCTCTCTAGCCACACAGTTTCTTAGTGGTTGCCACCTTAGTCATCGTTAAAGAAATGCTGCTTTGTCCAAATGATTTGTAAGAGTTTCCTACTTTTCATCTGTTTCTGGTATGGTGGAACTCTGCCTGCATACTGTTTTTAAAATGGCCATCTTAGAAACTGATCAGCTAATTGTTGCAGTTTTCAAACATAAATGACCCTTCTCACCAGTAAAAAGGATTGTATAGAGTACTACATTTTATTTTTGATTTGGCTTCTCATTACCATGTGTTCTAATTGTTCACCTAATGTGAATCTGTTTTTGCATCATTAGATGCTGTGAAAGCTGCTTGTGTTACCAAGTGAACTCTGAGGTTTTGGTCACTGTGATGTTCTCTCCCTATTCTGAGTGCTTGTGTTCAAGCAATTTATTCTGACTCTAGATAAGTATTGCATTCCTTCTTCCTATTCCCCTGAAGATGAGACAACAATAGCAAAATTACTTTGCTTTACTTGCTGTTTAGTCTACCAAAACTACATCATTTTTTGCTGAAGAGCAAATTTGAGAATTCTGTGATTTGTCCTTGTGGTTAAACTTTGTTATGGCTTTACAATAAGATTAATAAGGAGCATTCTCTATCCCAACATATTGCCATTCTTCCATCTCTGATAAATTATTATTACTTAGTCTTGTTCATGTTTTCACACCGTGCTCTTGACCTTTTGTGCAAGTACAGTATTTTAATAGGCTGAAATGGCACTGTTCTCTCCTCCCCTTCTATCCATTCTTTGGGGGAAGATGTTGTACATCTTGGAGTTTGTTTTTTAAATAATAATAATTATAATAAAAGAAACACAAGAATTGTTGCTGTATCTAACAGAAGGAATTGTAATATACTGTTGTAATTACAGAGCACAGGGTGAATAAATGTGTTCACATCATCATTAAGTTCATAACTAATATGCCTAATTGTGAACATCATTGTCACAAGTCTGTTAACAGGGCAGCAAAATGAAGCCAACCATAAAAGGGGATATGACTTTCAGCAAGTTTAGGAGATTTCTATGGCATGCATAAAGAAATTATTATGTAAATAAAAGAAAGCTAGAAAAGAAGCAACTGGTTCAGCAATGGCTGGTTATGCTTTGCCCCTCAGAAGATATGTATTGAAGGGAAACTGGGAAATTAAAGGCAAAGAGGCAGTTACTGAGATACTGGTTAGATTTGAGTCCATAAAAGTTTATCAGATTCTGAGAGTATATCCGTTGACACCTCCCCTTTGACCCTGAATCCCCCCTACCCATTTCCAGAATGAAATCTGCTCTTTAAAGCCTCTGATCACTTTGGAGACAAAATAATACATAAAAGCACTTTCAGATCAGTATAGTATCTTTCAACACAAAACAGGAAAATGTGGGAAGCAAGAAGACAGATAGAGCTAGGCAATCACACTTTATGAAAATGCTGGGATAGGAGAAAATACAGAACTCGGAGGCTTGTTTATTAAAGAGTTATGCGGTGTCTGTTGGGAAAAAGGAAATTAAACATTCTGAATACAGCTCTTGGGAGCTTAAAAAGTGGACGAAGTCCAGGGACACATTTTTAAGTGATATATTAATACACTGTGTGGGGTCAGCATAATTATCTGTTACAGTAAACTTTATATTTTCTACTCTGTATGTTTTCACTTAATATTGATAAGGAGGATTCAGTCAAGCATTACTACATTGAACCCCAATATAGTGGTCATCCTGAAGCCTAACCACCACATCTATGGGGAGATCCTAAGGATAAGAGGGAAAGGTGAGAGATAAGTGCCCAAAGATTGGAATTCAGAGTGGATGAGTTCCATCTTTTTCTCACATACACACTGTTTGGAAGTTATGTGAATCACAACAGACCATGGAGGCTGAAAATTGGCCTTTGGACTTTTACTCTGTCCAGTTGTCATTTAGACTATCCTGAAATGAAATGAAAATAGAGGGAGAAAACGTGGAGGCCGTGACAGACTTTGTATTTCTAGGTGCAAAGATTACTGCAGAGGCAGACTGTAGCCAGGAAATCAGAAGACGCTTACTTCTTGGGAGGAGAGCAATGTCCAATCTCGATAAAATAGTAAAGAGTAGAGACATCACACTGGCAACAAAGATCCGCCTAGTCAAAGCCATGGTATTCCCTGTAGTAACCTACGGATGTGAGAGCTGGACCTTAGGGAAGGCTGAGCGAAGGAAGATCGATGCTTTTGAGCTGTGGTGTTGGAGGAAAGTGCTGAGAGTGCCTTGGACTGCGAGAAGATCCACCAGTCCATCCTCCAGGAAATAAAGCCCGACTGCTCACTGGAGGGAAAGATACTAGAGACAAAGTTGAAGTACTTTGGCCACATCATGAGGAGACAGGAAAGCCTAGAGAAGACAATTATGCTGGGGAAAGTGGAAGGCAAAAGGAAGAGGGGCCGACCAAGGGCAAGATGGATGGATGGCATCCTTGAAGTGACTGGACTGACCTTGAGGGAGCTGAGGGTGGTAACGGCCGACAGGGAGCTCTGGCGTGGGCTGGTCCATGAGGTCACGAAGAGTCGGAGACGACTGAACGAATGAACAACAACAACGAAATGAGATGAAACTAAGGTGCAGGGTTATGCAACATGAAACATTGCTCTTTTCATCTGTGTTTTGCCTCTTTTCAACACAATGGGAAAGGAAATACCACAATTGGTCTTAAGATCTAAGCTGTTGAGTTCAAGCTGTCAGAACTCTACTGGCTTCCCAGCTGTCCGTTAATTTACATCCATTTGGTCCTTGTTTTTCTGCCCTTCAGGTTAACAAAATAGCTAACACAAAAAGTATATATATTAAAAACAACATCTTATGGGACTGAAGGGTTTTGACTTATCCCACAGTTATGTACATTCTTTGACGTTACCAACAGGCTTCTAACATTGACTAGTCCAACAAGGCTGAAGTTACTTTAGTGCAGGAGTGCAACTCATATGGCCCTTGAGAAGTTATAGACTGGAACTACCATGATTCTTAACAATGTTCCCACAGTTACCTATTTTTAACTGCTGTTTTGTCTTTATAGTATGCCCAAGACAAAATAGTTTCAGAATTTTCTGAAACATGCTGGATGAGTTAATTAATAAATACAGTCACTCCACCAATTTTGTTTCTATCCTGTGTTTTGTTTCTAGTATCTCTCCCCCTTTTCCCTCTGTCCTTGAACAAATTCTTCAAAGACAGGCTCCAACATGAAGCAGCTGAACAAAAATGAATAAAGTGATTCACATTACCACTCAGTTAGTTTGATAAACCTGTTTGTTTGTCCTTCTTCCTTTTCTGTTTTGGCTAAATGCTGTACCCAACCACACAAGTATATCATAATAAGCCCACTGAAGCTACCATCCATGCCTCTGATTAATTGGGCCATGGTCCATCAAAGGTTATGCCGTATGAAAGATCTTTAAGGTGCCCCACTGAAAACTGAGATGGCCCCTACACCTCCAAGAACTGTAAAGAAGCGGTAATTTCAGCAGGCATTACATCAGAGCTTTCTAAAAATTTCACATTGCTGACACACCATTTTTAAACATGGAGCACTCTCTAGCCTTTAAGCCAGTGACACTACCTGCTACCTGTTTTTGTTATTTTTGGGGGTCCCAAGTGCCCTAAAACACTTGTTAATGGATACCACCCCTAATTTAAGAGCACCCAAACTCCCTGCCCCTCTGAGGCTGGATTTACTCTACCATATAATCAAGAGTATTTGATCTGAACTGGATTATATGGGGCTGGATCTACACTGCCCTATATCGCAGGATCTAGCCCCAGATTGTCTGATTTGAACTGGATTATATGAGTCGCTGCCAGGTAGTCTGGGACAAGAAAATTATCTAAGGCCTCTGAGTTATATAAATCCACACTGCCACACATTCCAGTTCAAAGCTGATATTTTGCGATTTTCTGCCTTGATATTCTGAGTTATATGGCTGTGTGGAAGGGCTCTGAGGCCCCTTCCACACAGCTGAACAAAATCCCACAGTACCTGCTTTGAACTGGGTTATATTGTTGTTGAATATGCCCCCCCACCCCCAATAAAAGATAGTTTATAATTTGGGAATTCATATTTTTGCCAAGGACATGAGGCTGGAATGATAAAAGTTTTGGCAAATTTGCAGAAGGACTAATAACCACAACATGTTAGATGGTGTGTACATTTAATCAAGATTTATGCCCTGTATTTTGCATATTTAAAACAAAAGGTAACTGCTATATTTACTGGAAACCCTGTCACAAAAAGCCAATTTTTCCCAACCCTCCATGCTCCCCTTTTCCTTTATGAACTCTATATATGCCCTACATCCCCAATTATTATATGTATGTCTGTATAAAATATCAAGCAAGGTGACCTCTTCATGAACTATGACCAGCATCTCAGGACTCAGGTATTGCAGAATAATAATAATAATAATAATAATAATAATAATAATAATAATAATAATAATAATAATAATTTTATTTACTATACTTATATACCTGGGAATTTCCTGGGTCTTCAACCAAGTTTGGGGGGGGGGGGTGTTGAATGCTCTCATTAAGGAGGCCAGACTTGGTGGAGGTGGTTGACAGGGGCGGAGCTGCAGGCTATTTAAGGCTGCTCTGCCCCCTGATGAGCTCTTTGCTTCAGCGCGAGCTAGGAGGCAGGTTTCAACCCCTCCCCCCCCCCTGCAATTTTCAACCCCACCTGAAATTTTTTTCTGGCTATGGCCCTGCCAGCCTCTGCTTTAGCAGGGTCCCCTAATCATGCTATGCATCAATAGTGTGGACTCAGATAACCCAGTTGAAAGCAGATATTGTGGGATTTCCTGATATTCTGGGTTATATGGTTGAGTGAAAGGGCCCTGGGATCAGATTCTGAGATATAAGGCAGTGTAGATCCAGCCTGAGTCTATATTCCCATATAATCCAGTTCAAAGCACATGATCTGAATGTATATGGCACTGTAGAAGGGGCCTCATTTTGGGCCCTTCCATACAGCCCTATATCCCAAAATATCAAGGCAGGAAATCCCACAAGATCTGAGTGTGGACTCAGATAACCCAGTTCAAATGAGATATTGTGGGATTTTCTACTTTGATATTCTGGAATATAGGGCTGTGTGGAAGGGCCCTATGTTATCTAAGTCCTCACTGCCACACATTCACACATTCCAGTTCAAAGCAGATATTGTGGGATTTTCTACTTTGATATTCTGGGATATATGGCTGTGTGGAATGTCCCTATGTTATCTAATGTTATTATTTTTATTGTTTTGTATTACTTGTTATTGTTTTTATTATTGATGTATTGTGGGCTCGGCCTCATGTAAGCCGCACCGAGTCCCTTGGGGAGATGGTAGCGGAAAATAAATAAAGTATTATTATTATTGGGTTGTTGTAGGTTTTTTCGGGCTACATGGCCATGGTCTTGAGGCATTCTCTCCTGACGTTTTGCCTGCATCTATGGCAAGCATCCTCAGAGGTAGTTAGGTCTGTTGGAACTAGGAAAAGGGGGTTTATATATCTGTGGAATGACCAGGGTGAGACAAGGGACTCTTGTCTGCTGGAGCTAGGTGTGAATGTTTCAACTGACACCTTGATTAGCATATAATGGCTTGACCATGGCCATATAGCCTGAAAAAACCTACAACAACCCCATTATTATTATTATTATTATTATTATTATTATTATTATTATTATTATTATTATTATTAGATTCCACACTGCCATACATTCCAGTTCAAAGCAGATATTGGCAAGGTTGTGCCTTGATATTCTGTGATATAGGGCTGTGTGCTTTTCTCTTGTTTTCTGTCACATTCTTTACCAGCCAATTTCATAGATGTCTACTTAAGAGATAACTCCCACGGAGTTTAACAGTACTTGCTTCCAGGTAATTATGCTCTTACTACCTGATGGAAGGCTTACTGTAAGCATCCTTCGAATGTCAATTCAATACCGGAAGTGTTGATAAGTCTACTTCGAACTCTTATCTCTATGACGTGTTCGTCTCCATAGCCCCGCATTTTTTCTAGCGGTAAAAAGTGACCATTTTCAACCGATAGTTCAGGTTTCCTTTCGGATGCCGCCTTGTTTGGAAAAGGAGAGTCTGAACTGTGCTGAACAGAAGTGCGGTGCTATCTTAACAGAGACCCTTTCTTGGAGTCCAGATTGGACTCTCGGATGTGGATACAGTTTGCGATATAGAGGCAGGAGTGTAAATGTGTTGCAAAGGGGGGGGGGGGGGTTAGAATCCAAGTTGCGAGGAGCTGAATTTTCCTATCTCTACGTTCACGTTCCGGATGTGACGACACAAAAAGCTACATTTCCGGAGTACTTGTTTAATGGTCCCACGTGGAGGCAGCAGGAGAAGTTTCAGGCATGGAGGCGTTGGATCGAGTAGAGTGAGTCTCACCGTTGCTTGTGTAGGCCTGGTCAAACTTGGGCCCTCTCTCCAGGTGTTTTGGACTCCAACTCCCATCATTCCTAACAGCATCAGGCCCCTTCCTTTTCCCCCTCACCGCTTAAGCGGCTGAGGGAAAGAAGAAGCCTGAGGCTGTTAGGAATGATGGGAGTTGGAGTCCAAAACACCTGGAGAGAGGGCCCAAGTTTGACCAGGTCTGTGCTTGTGTCACATTGAACTTTGGGTTGTTTGTTTACTTTAAATTTAGTTATTTCATGTATTTATATGCCGTCTTTAAAATAGGACTCGAGTCTGCTTCCAGAGATATATGTATGTCATAATAAATTGTGGCAAGTTCTTGGTGGTATGGGCATCCCAAATCACCTTGTCTTTCTCCTGAGGAATCTGTATAAGGACCAAGTAGCAAGAGTAAGAACTGATCCTGGAACAACAGACTGGTTCAAGATTGGGAAAGGCGTACGGCAGAGTTGTATACTCTCACACAACCTATTCAACTTGTATGCAGAATACATCATACAATATGCAGGGGTTGATAAATGCAAGGCTGGGGTGAAAATTGCTGGGAGAGACATTAACAACCTTAGATATGCAGACGATACCACTTTGATAGCCGAAAGCAAGGAGGAGCTGAGGAGCCTTCTAATCAAGGTGAAAGAAGAAAGCGCAAAAGCCGGGTTGCAGTTAAACGTAAAAAAAAACAAGATTGTGACAACCAGATTGATTGATAACTGGCAAATGGAAGGAGAAAACGTGGAGGCAGTGACAGACATTGTATTTCTAGTTGGAAAGATTACTGTAGACGCAGACTGCAGCCAGGAAATCAGAAGACGCTTATTTCTTGGGAGGAGAGCAATGACCAATCTCGATAAAATAGTAAAGAGTAGAGACATCACACTGGCAACGAAGATCCGCATAGGTAAAGCAATGATATTCACCGTAGTCACCTATGGATGTGAGAGCTGGAACATAAGGAAGGCTGAGCGAAGGAAGATAGATGCTTTTGAACTGTGGTGCTGGAGGAAAGTTCTGAGAGTGCCTTGGACCGCAAGAAGATCCAACCAGTCCATACTTCAGGAAATAAACCCCTACTGCTCATTGGAGGGAAGGATATTAGAGACAAAGATGAAGTACTTTGGCCACATCATGAGAAGTCAGGAAAGCTTAGAGAAGACATTGATGCTGGGGAAAATGGAAGGAAAAAGGAAGAGGGGCCAACCAAGGGCAAGATGGATGAATGGGGTCCTTGAAGTGACTAGCTTGACCTTGAAGGAGCTGGGGGTGGTGACAGCTGACAGGGAGCTCTGGCGTGGGCTGGTCATAGAATCATAGAATCAAAGAGTTGGAAGAGACCTCATGGGCCATCCAGTCCAACCCCCTGCCAAGAAGCAGGAATATTGCATTCAAATCACCCCTGACAGATGGCCATCCAGCCTCTGTTTAACCATGAGGTCCATGAGGTCACGAAGAGTCGGAAGTGACTGAACAAATGAACAACCACAACATATACATGCATCCAGATATGTGCTTGCTTTCAAGTTGCTTATCCACTTGTGGAAGCCCCATTCATTTCATGGGGTTTTCTTAGGCAGAATATTCAGAAGAATATCCCTTCCTCTGAAACACAGCCCTACAGCAGTCTTCGGTGGTCTCCCATCCAAGGCTGAGCCCTGCTTAACTTCCAAAATCTATCGCCTTTAGTATGCCAGCTGTTGACCGAGGGATGAATTTGTTTTGTGAGCCACCCAAAAACCAGCGTTTTTGGAATAGTTATATGAAAAATAGTTATATTTTTGTGAAAATAACCATGATGAAGGCAACTGGAAGGGACAAACACATCTACAAGGAACATTAGCCAAAATGTCAGTCAGGTTGCAAACTGCCTTTGGTGTCGATTAGGAGAAAAACTGGTCAATAGTTAAAGATAAAGGTTTTCCCTTGACATTGAGGGCAGTCGTGTCCGACTCTGGGGGTTGATGCTCATCTCCATTTCTAAGCCGAAGAGCCGGCATTGTCTGTAGACACCTCCAAGGTCATGTGGTCAGCATGACTGCACGGAGCACTGTTACCTTCCTGTGGGAGCAGTCAATACAGAAGTAAATGAAAACAGGCAGTCCCCAGGTTACAAACAAGACAGGTTCTGTAGGTTTGTTCTTAAGTTGAATCTGTGTCTAAATCAGAACAAGCAATTTTTAAAAAGTGTAATTCCAGCCATTTTTTTAAGTTTTGGAAAGCATAGGGAAGGGTTAATACCCCTGTGGTGTTTGCTTTGCTGTCTTGCTACTGTTGGAAAGTTTTCATCTCACTTTTTGTCCCTGTGATAATTGGATTTTGAAAAATGTGGCTTGTTTTGGAAACAAGGATTGGTGAGAAAGCTTCAGTGGAGACATCTTTTCCCCATGACAACTCTTCCAGGAGTGGATTTCCTTCCAAGGGGTAGATTTCTTCCACTTCCTGTTGTCTCACCTCTGTTCTCAATGTTTGTAACTCAGGGACTGACTGTAAGTACATTCAAATACTTGGTGAAAGTTAACATTGTGACAATAATATTCTCATGGCAGAAAACCCAAAACCAAGAGGGCAAAAAGGTTTCTTGAGAAAAGGGAGCCAAAGGTGACAGAAAATACCAAGAATGCTATGCTCATAAAAGGTGGAAATGCAAATACAACCATCACCGAAGTACTAAAAGACATTGTAAGTATGTTTGGGAATATTTGTGGAGCTGGGGCTATGTTCTGTTGTGTTACATAGAAAGGTGATTTAAAGTACTGATTCTCAAACTTTAGCCCCGTAGAGCACTGTTTCTTAAGGTTGGGACTGTGGGTCCCAACCTTAAATAGGGTCCCATTAGCTAATTGCTGGGGTCACGAAAAATTTGGAAACAGTGAAAGGTTTCTCCAGTCATTTACACAAATCTGTTAGCAACTACATGCACTGTTTTACAATGGACTCTGCAGAAAATGCTTTGGCTGTATTCCACAAAAAAAAAAGAAAAATCAGCCTGTTTAGCAAGCCTTGCAAATGGTGGTCTCTTTTCAATATATGTTTGATTTTTATACCTATTTAATATACTTATATATCTGGGGTCTTTTAAACTTATACACTTATATAATTGGGCCCTTTTAAAATATTGAGCGAACATGCATTCTATATTGGTGGGAATTGTTCTGGATCAAAGAGGAGGAATTCTGATTGACGGGAATAATTCAGCAAATCTGGGAGAAGTTGTAAAGTTTATAGTCATTGGCCCCTGTGGTGAATATTAACTGGTTTAACTAGGAAAATTCAAGATGCACTTCTGAGGCATTGGATGTTTTATACCTTGCCTATTTGCAGCAGAAATTTCAATTACTGTCTGTTTTGAGGGAGCAAAACAGGACTAGCACTTTTTGCTGGCATGCAAATCTATTACCATGTATTTAAAGAGAATAGATTTATTTATTTATTTACAATATTTCTATCCCACCTTTCTCAAGTCAGAAGGCTATTCAAGGCGGCTTACAAATTGGCAACATGTACAATTAAAAATTTAAAACAGCATTATAAAATCAATATAAAATCAATATAATACAAAACCCATTAAAAACATATAATAACCAATGTCTTCCTGTTAATCTCACATTCCAGTATCATTGTCTAAGCCGTTCCATGTTTCAAACTTACATAATTCTGTGTTTGTTTATTGCACTGCATTTCCAAAGGCTTATTCAAAGAGTCAGGTTTTTACTTTTTTCGGAAGTTCCGAGTGGCCACCACTGAGAAGGCCTTGTCTCTCGTCCCTGCCAGACGCTCCTGCGAAGAAGGCAGGATCAAGAGCAGGGCCTCCCCAGACTATTTTAAGTTCCTGGATGGTTCATAGAGAGAGATACATTCAGACACGTAAGCTGGGCCAGAACCGTTTAGGGCTTTGTAGGCTAAAGCCAGCACTTTGAATTGTGCCCAGTAGCAAATTGGCAGCTAGTGGAGTAGATGTACAGTGCTTCACCACTGAATTTCTGTCTTTAACCTTTTTCACAGTATTCTTTGAAAAAGCCATTTGCTGTGCTATATAAGAGGTAAGTGTTCTTTTCTTCAGATAAAATAAGATCTTGCTTTCCATGGATGTAACAGTTTTCTGTTAATATAAAGAGTATAATATGATGTTGTTGGAGATAGTAAGCCTGCACTGAAGTAAAATAAATAGTGTTACATTCTTGCAATGATGATATCAGCAGGAATCCTATTGATATTTTAAGATATGCAAATTCAACTATGGAGTTCAACTATGGATATTTTTCACATATATAAATTCAATTATGGAGTTGCACCACCACTGAACTGCTGACCTGAAGGTTGGTGGTTCGAATTCGCGAGATGGGGTGAGCTCTGTTTGTCAGCTTCAGCTTCCCATGCGGGGACATGAGAGAAGCCTACCACAGGCGTCCCCTGGGCAACATCTCTGCGGACTGCCAATTCTCTCACATCAGAAGCGACTTGCAGTTTCTCAAGTTACTTCGGACATGATTTAAAAAAACAACATTTCTGTCCAGTGTAGAATATTCACATTCAATTGAACATTGTGTAAGTTGTGTTTTCAAATGCACATGTGCACTTGTTTGAATTTCTACATTTGCATTCAGTTGTACAACGTCACTATTCAGCACAAGGGTTATATTACACAATTGACACATTTATGTGCAGGCTGAGATCTCTAGGATCCTCTAAGTCTTGTTGAACTTTCAGTCTGCGCAGCCATAGCCAGCAGTGGGGATTGCTGAGAACTGGAGTCCAACAACACCTGATTGTCAGGGTTACTGTATAACGGGATTAAGATTTAAATGTGGAGCTCATATATTTCTCATATAAGATATGTAAGTTTCAATAAAATCAAAACTTTCTCTTCTCTTTAGAAAAAATATTACAAGACCCTTTGAAGATCAAACTTCAATGGTGAGTAAAAAAAAACTTGGAAAAATGAACTGTCTTATATCTGTAAAACTAAAACAGCAGTTAAAAGATATAAAGAAGAGAAAGCTGAAATACAGACAATCCCCAAGTGACAAAGATAGGGCCTGCAGGTTTGTTCTTAAAGTTGGATTTGTTTGTAAGTCAAAACAGGTATATGTTAAGTGTAACTCCAGCAAAACATATATATATAGAGAGAGCTTTGGGTAGCATAGGGAAGGGTGAACACCCCTGTGGTGTTTTGGGTTTTTTTTTTTTTTTTTGGCTGTCTGTGCCCCTATTCTGAAAAAATCACCTCATACTTTGTCCCTGTGATGATCAGCTGTTAGGAATTGTGGGAATTGAAGTCCAAAACACCTGGAGGGCTGAAGTTTGCCTATGTCTGCTATAGCTCCTTCTCACCTTGCCAAACTCAGGTTTAGTATGATGTCCAAACTTGGCCATAAGATTTTGGTAAAATGGGTATTGTGGCTTTTCTTTATTTCCTTTGCTTTTAGGCAGAACTGTTGAGACAGAGGATATTTCAGATTCATTTCCTTAATACTGGAGGCTGGTTACATGTTATTGCAAGTGACAAAATTTAAGATCAGCTTCTGTGATGAATGGTAACATATTATTAATGTTAAATGGAGTATTTTGATGAAAACCTTGCTAAATGAAACAATGGTTTTCATAAGGCTGTTCTGGTTGAGGTCTATATTGTGGTCATTTTGCACTTAGAGTTACAAAGGAACTATGTCCTCTTTTCTTTTGGTTTCTAGCTTGACTCATGTCCAGAATTGAAGAGTGTTAATAAACCAAAATAACCTATATTAGACAGCAAAGCAAACTATGGAACATTTGCTTTGTTGCCTACATTAGATATTTTTGATCTGATATTTTTGATCTAAGTAAGGCTGTAAGTGAGTGTATTCAACCAAACAAACAAACCTACCTGACCTAGCAGGTCATAAAGCTATTATTATTATTATTGACACAAAGGCACAGTATGTTACAGCAAACAAGATCTATATGCTGGATTTCGTATCACAAAATCACAAGTCGAACACTTCCCAAGTGTCTAGGACTGTGTGATGTATTTTCGAATGATGCGCGCAGATCCAAGTAAGGTGGCCTTTTGCAGTTGACAGATCGTGATTTTGTTGATGTTTATTGTTTCCAAATGCCGGCTGAGATCTTTTGGCACGGCACCCAGTGCACCAATGTACCAGTGGGACCACCTGTACTGGTTTATGCCAGAGCCTTTGCAGTTCAACTTTGAGGTCTTGATAGTGGCTGAGTTTTTTCCTCTTGTTTTTCTTCAATGTGACTGTCACCTGGTATGGCAACATCAATAATCCAGACATTTTTCTTTTCCACAATTGTGATGTCTGGTGTGTTGTGTTCCCAAACTTTGTCAGTCTGGATTCGAAAGTCCCACAGTATTTTTGCATGATCATTTTCCATTACCTTTGCGGGATTATTATTGTTATTATTATTATTAAAGGTTGTTGCTAACAAATTTGTGTAAATTGGCGGTATTCAGTTTCCAGAAATTTTGGTACCCCAACATTGAGCTAAAGGGACTTCATTTGCATTTGCATTCAGGACCCACAGTTTAAGAAGCAATATTCTAGATTAATGCTTCTTAAATTAAGGGAAGATGGAAATTTGAAAGGTACATTTGAAAAGGAAATAAGGACATTGTGTCTCAAAAGGGAAAGTTAAATTATAAACTAAAACAAAAGATCAGAATAATTATGAGAAGTTGATGGGGAACCCTCTTTTTGCTAAGTTTAAAGCGGTTCAATAGGAGGGCACTGAACACTGAAATAAGCTTTCTGTTTTGTCAAAGGCTTTCATGGCCGGAATCACTGGATTGCTGTAAGTTTTCTAGGCTGTCTGGCCATGTTCCAGAAGCATTCTCTCCTGATGTTTCACCCACATCTATGACAGGCATCCTCAGAGGTTGTGGGGTCTGTTGGAAACTGGGCACGTGAAGTTTATATATCTGTGGAATGTCCAGGGTGGGAGAAAGAACTCTTGTCTGCTTAAGGCAAGGTTGAATGTTGCAATTGGCCTCTTTGATTAGCATTTAATGGCCTTTCTTTCTCCCACTCTGGACATTTCACAGACATATAAACCTCACTTACCTAGTTTCTAACAGACCTCACAACCTCCAAGGATGCCTGCCATAGATGTGGGTGAAACGCCAGGAGACAATGCTTCTAGAACATAGCCATACAGCCCAGAAAACTCACAACAACCCAAGCTTTCTGTGTTATTTATTCTTTGCAAGGCATCCACGATAATTTAAATCTGAATTCTTTTTTTAAGGAATTTTTTTCCAAGAAGTCTGATTGCTCTTTGTTCATGTTTGGATCACATAACAAGAAGAGGCCTAATAACCTGATAATAGGTAAAGTGATAATGTGTTGGAAGAAATCTATCTGAAATGAAATCATAGAATCAGAGTTGGAAGAGACCATGTTTAATATTTGAAAGGATGTCACAGTGAGAAGGGGACAATATTGTATTGTCGAAGGCTTTCACAGCCGGAATCACTGGGTTGTTGTAGAGACCTCACTACCTCTGAGGATGCTTACCATAGATGCAGGCAAAACGTCAGAATGCCTCTAGAACTTGGCCATATAGCCCGAAAAAACCTACAACAACCCGGGGACAATATTGTTTTCTGCTTCTCTGGAAACTAGGACACAATGGAGCCATGGATTCAAACTACAGGAAAAAAGATTCCACCTAAACATTAGGAAGAACTTTTTAACAGCAAGAGCTGTTCAGCAGTAGAATATACTGCCACAACGGATGGTGAGATTTTTAAGCAGAGGCTGGGTGTCCCTCAATTGGGGGTGCTTTGTTTCTGTGTCCCTTTATAGCAGGGGGTTGGACTAGATGGTCCTTGTGGTCTTTTCCAACTCTGATTCTATGCTCAAAGCGCTATATTGCACCAGCTCTTGGCTCTCACTCCTGTATCATGTTTGTCTTATTCTAACCTGTTTCTACCCACCCTGCCCCCCACCCCCAGAAAGCGGATAATGTAATTCAGAAGGTTGTATTTGCTAGGATTTTTGACATTGAGAAAAATAACATACTATTTGTGTAGAATGTGTACTCAGAAAATGTGTATCCATAGTAAAGGTCAAAGTTTCTCCTTAACATTAAGTCTAGTCGTGTCCAATTCTGGGGGTGGTGCTCATCTCCATTTCTGATGCAGAGCCAGCATTGTCCATGGTCATGTGGCCAGCATGACTATATGGAGTGCTGTTACCTTCCCGTCGGAGCGGTACCTATTGATCTACTCACATTTGCATGTTTTCAAACTGCTTGGTTGACAGAAGCTGGGGCTAACAACAGGAGCTTACCCCTGCTCCCTGGATTTGAACTGCTGACCTTTTGGTCAGCAAGTTCAACAGCTCAGCGGTTTAACCCACTGTGCCACACGGGGCTCTATATCCACAAAGCTGTGGATATACATATGTATCCATATATATCCATAAAGCTCTGGTCCTCAGCCTTTAGTCGTTTTGAATGTTGTTTCCTAAAATGTCCCCCAAACCTGGGGCTTCTGGGAAACAACGCCCAAAATATCTGGAAAACCAAAGACAGAGGATCATTGCTTTACTTTTATGTGTCCATCGAAAAGGAAATTATTTTGAGAGAGAATTGAGTGGAGGAATGCCCACCAGAGGGCAGACGCAAGCTTTGTATTGTCCTTCCCTCCACACAAAGGAAGGCGATGTACGAAGTTGTAGGTTAGCTGTAAATTGATGACTTGTAAAAATCCAGCGAACAAAAAAGAACAATGACAGGATAAAAAAAGGTTTGTTTTGTGGAGTTTTGGTGACCTATTGCACTTTCTTGTTTCTTTAACCTTTCTCATTTTTACGATGTTTTTCCATTTGATTGTGTTCAAATTGTAAGTTTGTTTGGAACTGAGCCACAACCTTGGAGGAAATCTAGATTACATACAGAGAGAGCCTGCCAGGTGGATAAAGGTCTGCTTGTATTTAATATACCTGGCATGCCAGGATTTCTTTCTCATGAAAATAAATGTGAAGGTCAAGGTAATTCATGCATGGTTAATGTAGATGGGTGAGCTTTTATCTACAAAAGGTGAGTGGTTGGGTGGCAGCACCTGCATCTGTTCAAATTGTACCTTTTAAGCATGCTGTAAATCCCTTGTGACCTCGCAGCCCATCTGTTTCTAAAATGTCATACTGCGCTAATCACACCTGCTCAATAGCAAAATCTGACTTTTACTCATTATTTTCTTTCCTTTTCTTCTTTAGGTCGCATGTACGATTATCATGTGCTTGATATGATTGAACTGGGCATTGAAAAGTTTGTAGCTCTGAAGGATATCAAGGTAAGATGCTTTTCAATTGCACTAGCATTTCTGATGATGATGATAAAGACTCTGGCACAAACCAGTAAAGATGGTTCCAGTGGTGATCGGCACACTGGGTGCACTGCCTAAAGACCTTGGCCTGCACTTAAACACAATCGGTGCTGACAAGATTACCATCTGCCAGCTGCAAAAGGCCACGCTACTGGGATTTGCACGCATTATTCGCTGATACATCACACAGTCCTAGACACTTGGGAAGTGTCCGACATACAACAGCCAGCAGAGTGATCTTGTTTGCTGTGGATTTATCTTGTTGTGTTTCAAATAATAATAATAATCTGTATACTCCGCCACCATCTCCCCAAAGGGGACTCAGGACGGCAAACATGAGGCCAAGCCCAAAAATAACAATACAACAAAACAAAATTCAAAGAAACAAAATAGCATCAAAATAAACACACGAAATGACAAATTAAAATAATCAGTCTCAAAATAACATGATAGAGAGATGAAACATGGGGTGGGCCAAATGTGCTAAGAATAAAATTTAGAAAATTGGTAAAACCCTGGGTGAGATAAGAGGAATGTGTGTCTGGGGAATAATGTGTTACTAAGGGAGGAGCTCAGAAGGGACAAAGAAAGAGGTAGGCCTTCATTAAGGGCGGGGGGAGTGTATCTTGAAGGCAGAAACCGAAGTTGGGACACACAATGTATGAGGTATATCTTCACTCGCCAAAGGCACATTAGAAGAACCAAGTTTTTAAGTCTTTCTTGAAGGCTGCCAGGGTAGGGGCTTGTGTCAGCTGAACTGCCGACTGAAAGGTCAGCAGTTTGAATCTGGAAAGCGGGGTGAGCTCCTGTCTGTCAGCTCCAGCTTCTCTTGTGGGGACATGAGAGAAGCTTCCCACAGGGTGGTAAAACATCTGAGCGTCATCTGGGCAACGTCCTTATAGACAGTCAATTTTCTCACACCAGAAGCGACTTGCAGTTTCTCAAGTTACTCCTGACACAAAAAGTTGCTGTTTTTTCCAAGTTAATCCATGCTTCTCTCACCTTTTACCATCAATTTCCTTGTTTTAATGTTGCAAAATATATAACAGAACAGCAAGTGTCCTGAAGGAACAAAACCCATGTTGATCTTTGCGGGTGACACTTTTGACATCAGTGAAGAACACAGGCGATTAAGAAGCCTTCTCATTGGTAAGTCTTCTAAAGTTTCCATTTCTCGGTAGCAGAACGTGATAGGAGCAGTTGCATGTACAGAACCTTTACATTTTGTGCTATTGGTTGACATTTGCCCCTCTCCTGGGAGTAAAAAAAGGTGAAAATGTCACTCAAGAAAAGTTAAGTCAAGAGCCTTGCCTTGTTGAAATGCTTATTTTCTTACATGCTGTCTTTTATTTATTTATTTACCCTATTTATACACCGTCTTTCTCTACCCTGAAGGGGATTCAAGGTGGCTTACATATAGGCAATTATTCAATGCATTAAAACACATATAATTCCAATAACATTAAGATAACATTAAATTAAATGAAAATTAATACATAAAAGGTAAAGGTTTCCCCTCACATTTAGTCGTGTCTGACTCTGGGGGGTGGGGCTCATCTCCATATCTAAGCCAAAGAACCAGTGTTGTCCATAGACGCATCCAAGGCCATGTGGCTGGTATGACTGCATGGAGCATCATTACCTTCCCACCAGAGCGATATCTGTTGATCTACTCACATTTGTATGTTTTCAAACTGCTAGGCTGACAGAAGTTTATTTATTTATTTATTTATTTATTTGCTGCATTTGTTGACCGCCGTTCTCAGCCCTAGGGCGACTCACGGCGGTGTACAACATATAAAAGACAATTTACAATAAAGCAATAACGAAAAATCAACATATCACTAATACACAATAATATAATTACACTAAATAATCCGCTCCGTCTCATCGTAGAATCATAACCAATCTCGTAATCCATATTCCGTTCCAGTTGTCATTACCAATTAATGTAGCACTCAGTTAAATGCCTTCTCAAATAGCCATGTCTTTAGGCTCTTACGGAAAGACATAAGGGAGGGCGCCTGTCTGATGTCAACAGGGAGGGTGTTCCACAGCCGGGGGGCCACCACCGAGAAGGCCCTCTCTCTCGTCCTCGCCAGACGTGCCTGTGAAGCAGGCGGGATCGAGAGAAGGGCCTCCCCAGACGATCTCAAGGCCCTCGTGGGCTCATAGGCCGAGATGCGGTCCGAAAGGTATTTTGGGCCAGAACCGTTTAGGGCTTTGTAGGCCAACACCAGCACCTTAAATTGGGCCCGGTAGCAGATCGGCAGCCAGTGGAGCTGGAACAACAAGGGCGTTGTGTGCTCCCTGCGTCCCGCCCCTGTTAGTAACATGGCTGCCGCGCGCTGGACTAGCTGAAGCTTCCGGGCCGTCTTCAAGGGCAGCCCCACGTAGAGAGCGTTGCAGTAGTCAAGGCGGGATGTGACCAGAGCGTGTACCACCGTGGCCAAGTCAGACTTCCCGAGGTACGGGCGCAGCTGGCGCACGAGCCTAAGCTGTGCAAATGCTCCCCTGGTCACCGCTGAAACCTGGGGATCCAGGCTCAACGATGAATCCAGGATCACACCCAAGCTGCGAACCTGCGCCTTCAAGGGGAGTGCGACCCCATCCAGCACAGGCTGTAACCCTATACCCTGTTCGGCCTTGCGACTGACCAGGAGTACCTCTGTCTTGTCTGGATTTAATTTCAGTTTGTTCGCCCTCATCCAGACCATTACAGCGGCCAGGCACCGGTTCAGGACCTTGACAGCCTCCTTAGTAGCAGGTGGGAAGGAGTGACAGAGTTGGACATCATCTGCGTACAGATGACACCGCACCCCGAAACTCCGGATGATCTCACCCAGCGGCTTCATGTAGATATTAAACAGCATGGGGGACAGTATAGAGCCTTGTGGAACCCCACAGGTCAAAGGCTGTGGTGTTGAACAGGAGTCCCCCAATAACACCTTCTGGGTACGGCCCTCCAGAAATGACTGGAGCCACTGCAGAGCAGTGCCCCCAAGACCCATTTCCGCAAGGCGCCCCAGAAGGATACCGTGGTCGACGGTATCGAAGGCCGCTGAGAGGTCCAGGAGCACCAACAGGGACACACTCCCCCTGTCTAGCTCCCGGCGCAGATCATCCACTAAGGCGACCAAGACCGTCTCGGTTCCATGTCCCGGTCTGAAACCAGACTGTGCCGAATCCAGATAATCCGTGTCTCTCAAGAATACCTGGAGTTGTGAGGCCACCACGCTTTCCATGACTTTGCCCAAAAAGGGGAGATTGGAAACAGGCCGAAAGTTGTCAAATTTAGTGGGGTCCAATGATGGTTTCTTCAACAGCGGTTTTATAATAGCTTGTTTTAAGCTCGCTGGAATCTTGCCTTCCCGAAGGGAGGCATTAACCACCACCGTTACCCACTCAGCCAATCCCCCTCTGGCCTCCTTCAGAAGCCAGGATGGGCAGGGGTCTAGGATGGACGTGGTGGGCCTCATTCCTCCAAGTATCTTGTCCACATCCTCGGGCTTCACAAACTGAAAAGAATCCATCAAAATAGGACAAGCAGGTGCTCGTGTCACATCCTCAGAGACTGCATTTAACATGGTGTCCAGCCCAGAACGGATCAAGGCGACTTTGTCTGCAAAGAACCGAGCAAATGCTTCGCAGCGCGTGACCGAATTGTCAGGGCTCCCGCCTGAGGTGGCGGGAGTTAAAAGACCTCTGACAATCCGAAACAACTCCGCCGGACGGTTTTTTGCAGACGCAATAGTGGCCGCAAAGAAAGTTTTCTTTGCGGCTTTTATTGCCGCGGCATATGCCCTTAGAAAGGACACAAACCGTGCTCGATTTGACTCGCTTGGGTCCGAACGCCACACGCTCTCTAGTTCCCTCTTCCTTCGCTTCATCACTGCCAGCTCCTCAGTAAACCAAGGAGCTGGTTTAGCTCGGCTACTTGAGAGGGGACGTTCCGGAGCGATCATGTCAATTGCCCTGGCCATCTCCCCATTCCAGAGAGCGACCAAGGCCTCGATATGGTCACCTACCGAGGTGGCGGGAAAATCCCCAAGAGCCGTCAGGAATCCATTCGGATCCATAAGCCTCCTGGGGCGGACCATCTTAATGGGTCCTCCACCTTTGCAGAGGTTAGGGGGCGCAGTGAGCCTAAATCTGATCAGGAAGTGGTCAGTCCATGGCAACGGAGAGATGGACAACTCCTCCACACCGCCACCCTGCTCCCATCCCTGGCAGAAAACCAAGTCCAATGTATGTCCAGCACAGTGGGTGGGGCCAGATATTTGTTGGGACAGCCCCATGGTTGCCATGGCAGACATGAAGTCCTGAGCCGCTCCTGTGAGGGTCGCCTCGGCATGGATATTGAAGTCTCCCAGCACAAGAAGCCGTTGAGACTCCAACGCCAGGCTCGAGACTACCCCCGCTAGCTCAGGTAGGGAGACTGTAGTGCAGCGAGGTGGACGGTACACTAGCAGAATCCCTATTCTGTCCCGGTCACCCACCCTCAGGTGGACACCTTCAAAATTTGTGGTCTGTGGGATGGGGCTCCTGGTCAGATGGATGGAATCTTTATAGACCACTGCGACCCCGCCTCCCCGTCCTCCGGATCTCGGTTGGTGCTGTACGGAGAAGCCTGGAGGACAAAGCTGGGTAAGATTTACTCCTCCAGCTTCATCCAACCAGGTCTCCGTGATGCACGCCAGATCTGCCCGCTCATCCAGGATTAAGATCCTGGATAAAGGTCGTTTTTCCGTTGACAGATCTGGCGTTCAGCAGCACCACCTTCAATCCAGAGGGCCCGCTCACCTGGTTACACCAATTTACCTTAGGAGACCGGTTTGGGATTATTAATGTTGATAAGCGGTCCGAATTAGGCCGAATTTGAGGTCTCCTTTTTCCGCATCTCCCCCTCCCCACCACGACCTCTATGGGGGCCCCTCGGCTAGTGGAACACCTCCCCTCCTCCATGCCGCAGTCCAAAACCAAGGTCTTAGTTTCTGTTTCGCTAGTTGTTTGGTTTGTTGGCCCTTGCCAACTCCCTTGCTTCCCTTTCTCCCCCCTCCCCGCCTCATTATTGTTCACAGGCTCCAGCCCACTTCCTCCCTTGCCCCTTCCACTGGTCACTAATAACAGGGACAGTACAAATAGGGGGATGGGGAACCACATGGATAATAATAGTCCAGATGGTAATAAGCGTTTCTGCCACGACAATTAGATAGTTCATAAAGTGCAAGAGTCTTAAAGTGCAACACAGTCGGCAACACAACTGCGTGCCGTTAGGGCAAATTCATAAAGTGCAAGGATCTTAAAGTGCGACAGATACCCGAATCTGGCTCTCAGCGCTAACTAAAGTGCGGCATAGAGGGATAGGGGAAGGGGGCATAAGTGCTAGTACAATTTAGCAGCAAATAGGCAGGCGCCTTAAAGTGCTATATTGCGTTCTTAATACCAAATTAGCAGCAAAAGGCAAACAAGGAACGTACTATGTTAGTAATATGTAAACACACTATTAAGAGGTTGTCAGTGATAACAATTAGATAAAGTTATTATGATTCAAGGTGTAATCTCTGGACGGTTGATGTAAAAAAGCGGATGAGTCTTCAATCTTCCGGAGATGGTCAACACGGCGGTGGTCAGCACAATTGGTCTATCACAATATCGATCAACACAGAAAAAGGACAGCACAAGAAGGTCTACACAATATCGGTCAACACAAAAGGTCAGCACAAAGAGGTCTACACATTGCTTGCCCAGCTAGTGGAGGCCCAGATGGTGGAAGATGGTAGAGGGCCAGGCGGCCAGGGCCCGGCTCAAGTAGCCCAGGGCCCCGTTCCAATAGCCCTTACAATGCAACGGCCCGCTCGCGGGGCCTGGGTGGTAGAGGCCTAGCGTCTGGAATAGGCTCAGATGGAAAAGCCCAATTGGGAGGAGCAGCGATGTTGGGCGGATGTTGGGCCCGATGGTGGGCGTCTTATGCAGGCCAGATGGAGGAGGCCCAGCTGGAAAGGTCTGATGGTAAAGGCCCAGCCGGACGACGCTCACAGCGCAGCAGCCTGCGTGGTAGGCCCAGGTAGCAGAGGTCTTGGCTGGGGCGGCGTTCGCGTCGGCGGCGGCTTTGGAAGCCCAGGCAGCAGAGGTCCTAGCTGAGGCGG